GTGATAGATCAACGCAGGCGAATATCACAAGAATCAAGTTTTACAGAAATAAAGTTATTGCACAAGTAACAACAACCAGAGTTGACAATTCAACATTTCAATCTTTATGGAAAAAAATTGGCCAGGCATTGGTAGAATTGGGCGTTTCACAAAGTGATGTCGACGATTTAGAAAAATGTCCGTTAGAACCCAAAAAATTAGAATGTTCCAGTAATTCACAAAGAGAATATGATGAAAAAAATGGTAAGTATAAACAAAATTAATTCGTAACCAGGCGGCAGCAGCAGTACTCAGCCACTATACAGAGTTCGGTGGCCAAGAAAGCGTGAGCGCGCGGGGGTGTTTCTGGCAAATTGCGTCGATTTCTGGAAAAATGTGATTTTAAAGTGCGTTTTTCTGTACTTTGACGAAAATCTTTAACAACTATGGACGCGCCGGAAGAAAGTCACCATATGAAGGTATTTAATGCTACCGTTTTGTTTTTCTTTATATTAATACGGCTATTTTTGAATATCCGATAAGCCAATTATCGTGTATTGGCTTTGCGCAATGTCACAGATGTCCTCTGTTCTATAATCTCAAGTAAATCAAATAATGTTTTCCTCGTTGGGAAAACGTACGCTAAAATGTAATAAGGGGTTCTAAAAAGACAAAAACGGACATTCATCTATTGTATATTTTTGCGTAGTATTTTGCATATTTATAAAATACCAGCCAAAGGCAGCAGTTTTTAATCCTGAATGATGTCGATATCTTTTCTGTTAAAATGTATGAGTATGTTGTGCAATAGGAGAATTAAGTTCTGATGATTTACATTTTATATGACTGTTTATGATTAAGCTTAAGCAATGCTAACATATTTTCTAGGCACTCATGATACAGATGAGTGTGAGGTTTATTAGGAGACATCAAAAAAATCAGTCAGTAATTCAGAGAAGCTTGGTTTTGGAAAACATCCATTGACACCAGAGGTTAGTTTGTGTTTATGAACTCAGAATATTTGGGTATTACTTCATATTGTAAAGAATATTTAGTCTTAGTTTATTTTATACAGGGGTTGAGCTTCAACGAACATTTAAAAAATATGCAGTCAGAGAAGAAATGAAATGGCATTCAAACGTGATGAATTTTTGAGTACTGGGAGAGTCCAGATGAAAATGCGGATCAATTTTTGCTAATGGAAGATCAAAAAAGCATTTTTACCAGAAGCATTAACTAGGTCATTGTTAATTTTGCAAAAATAAGCAAAAGAAATGTTGTGATTGGAGCTAAAGATTATGCAATGTTGCATGCTTGCTGAAAACACATAATATACTATACTGGTTTCCTCACTTAAAATAATTAAATAATAATAAAAGTGAACAGATATTCTTTGTGCCGTTATCAAGGCACTGAAGTGTTTATTTCTCGTGTATTTCTCTAGTAAATTATGCGCGCACATGCATTCATTCTGTAAGGCGGATGATCTACGCCAGTTTCTTCGATCAAATACTTCAAATATCTCCTTATATACATCAAGCACGTCGCCATGTTTAATTCATTTTCTGCCAGAAGTTTCCTTTCTTAAAAGCACTGCGCACCCCTGCGCGCTATAACGCTTTCTTTGGCCACCGATCTCCATATATTTAATAGCTTAATGAAACTTTTATCATAGGCAGCCCACACTTTGACTTGCGCGTGTGATACTCGCGCGCGTATCGCGCTTAGGTTGTAATTTACTTCGAATATATATATATATATATATATATATATATATATATATATATATATATATATATATATATATATATATATATATATATATATATATATATATATATATATATATATATAGGTATTAAAGAGTTTATCAAAACACTACAGATATATGTTACGTTCAACGGTGAAAACGAACAAAAACTGAGAAACATGTAGCTCGATACCTTGACTGGTAACTTAATTGAACAGCGAATAGCTCTATAGTTGGAAATCCATATTTGATAATAACGGATGAAAACGCTAATTGTGGATTAATGCCATGAAAAAGCACATTTTCGGGTAACCTATGATTTGATGTTGTCAGCTTAAATTAGCATCGACTGGTGTATTGCGTTATAGATTTAGCCTTTTTGTCTCTCTTCAGTTTGTGTCCCTATTTTCTGGCTGTGCTCAGATTTTATACGCTTGGCTTAGGGAAGACCTAAAACTACAAGTCATTTCCCCTACGCAATACAGTGCGTTGTACAAGTCGAAGTTTACTAAATTCATAGAATATATAATATACGTATAGTTTTAATATTATAGCAAATAACGCTATTATAATTATAATTACATGATATTACGGATTTACGGTAACATGTAACATATAATATTCTTGTATGTTTGCATGGTGATATAAATAAGCTAGTAGGTACACCATGCACATACATGCTAGTAGGTACACATGCTAGTAGGTACATGCTAGTAGGTACACATGCTAGTAGGTACATGCTAGTAGGTACACATGCTAGTAGGTACACATGCTAGTAGGTACACATGCTAGTAGGTACACCATGCACGTATTTATCCCGGGCTTTCATCAGTGCATTATTGCAAGATCCCTTCAACATTGCACTGATGAAGGCCCGGATTAATGGCTGTACCTACAAGCTAAATTATTTACTATATATATAGTTTCGTAAATGTATAGTTATCTTTTCTCTAAAATTTACACGAAGATGCGTCATAAAAACTACAGCCTAATCAACACTGATGACTAAACTACATTATCCTGAAGTTTCCATGTTTTTAAACAACATCTAAAGACTTCAAATTACCGAAATAAAAAAGGAATTCATACGAAATTTTTAGAAAACTATCCGCAGATCACTCCGCCTAAGAAATCGTCATCTTTTTTAAGATATCATCTTAACGCTTATTGGCTTACCCACAAGACCGCCAATGAGCTTTTAGCTTGATATCATAATAATATATAACGTTTCCTTAGGCGGAAAAGAGCACAAAGCTTTTGTGGATTTAATATCGCCCAAGAGGGAAAGCCACTCAATAGTACGTAGCGTGCTCTTTTCAATGTTTGCTAGCAAAATACTTAATTAGAATTAACTGTTTCTTTTTTGATAATTGTTTGATAAGCAGAACAACACGTGTAAATATGTTTTCAAGTAATTGCACTGATGAAGACCCGGGTTAACGGACCGAAGGATTTGCAGTATGAAATACTTACGTGGTGGACCCACAAGCTAAGTTACTTTTCTTTAAATGGGGTTTAAAAACATGGAAACTTCAGGATAATGTAGTTCAATCATCGGTGCTGATTAGGTTGTAGCTTTTGATGCTTTTTTTCCTGTATAATTTTGTAGATAATTATACATTTACGAAGCTATATCTGTAGTGTTTTGATTAACTCTTTCCTACCTTGTCATTATATATAGACGAAGTAAACAAAGTAAGCGCGAGACGCGCGCGAGTATTACACGCACAAGTCAAACCAATTGATCTGAGATCATGACGTCATAAAGTGTATCGACAAAACTGAGTTATCATGTGCCTGGTGTTATTTGTCCTTATTCTTCCAACTAATAGTTTAAAGGGTGAAAAATTTGAATTCTAATTTGCAGTTGGGAAAAAATAAACGTGTTTTCACATAAATATATAATAAAATTACTTTATATTTTCGAGTGTCGAAGTTTTTTACAATGAAGGAAAGGATAATTCAGTTTTGTTGAAGACCTGGCTTCTGATTGGTTGATTTTTGTATCCAGATCAGCTGGAAATCTGGGTTGCCTATGCTTTTATAACCTCTGTATTTAAAAAAGTGCCTAGGTAGCTACAAGTCTATTTATGACGTGTAAAACGTTTTTCCTACCGCAACAATCTTAGTTTTCATAATCAGCTAGCATTGACATCTTGACTTAGTTCAACCACTATTGCTCAGGTCGATCACGATGGAAAATTATATCTATTTTTTACAGTAACCTCGTGCAATGTCATGGCTTTTTACGAACTGCAAGAAAAAGCAAATTTTGCAAGACTCAGTAGACTTTTAGTTGACAAAGGAACTGAGGCTTTGAGAAATACATTTGATACCATCCATCCACCTGTTAGTCTACCTGGAGTACTGGCTGCAAACAAAACATCTCTTCAAAAGTTAAAACCTCGAATTATTAATAATTCTCAGTGGGATTTACTGTTTCCTCCGTCTGGCAACCCTCCAGATTCCAAAACCTTTAATATCACATTACTTACAGTTCTAATCCGGAACATTTGTGGTTTTCCATCAACAGGATGGAGTGTAATGCCTCCGGATTGGGATAGGTCAACGCAAGCAAATATCACAAGAATCAAGTGTTACAGAAATGAAGTTATTGCACAAGTAACAACAACCAGAGTTGACAATTCAACATTTCAATCTTTATGGAAAAAAATTGGCCAGGCATTGGTAGAATTGGGCACCCCACAGAGTGATGTCGACGATTTAGAAAAATGTCCGCTAGAACCTGAAAAATTAGAATGTTCCAGTGATTCACAACGAGAATATGATGAAAAAAATGGTAAGTATAGACAAAATTAATTCGTACCCAGGCGGCAGCAGCAGTACTCAGCCACTATACATAGTTCGGTGACCAAAAAAGCGTGAGCACGCCGGGGTGTTTCTGGCAAATTTCTGGCAAATGTGATTTTAAAGTGCTTTTTTCTGTACTTTGACGAAAATCTTTAACAACTATGGACTCGCTGAAAGAAAGTCACCATATGAAGGTATTTAATGCTACCGTTTGGTTTTTCTTTATATTAATACGGCGATTTTTGAATATCCGATAAAAAAACGGACATTCATCTATTGTATATTTTTGCGCACTATTTTGCATATTTATAAAATACCAGCCAAAGGCAGCAGTTTTTAATCCTGAATGATGTCGACATCTTTTCTGTTAAAATTTATGAATATGTTCTGCAATAGGAGAATTAAGTTCTGATGATAAGTTTAATTCATCATTTAAACAACTTTTTAAGAGTAAGAGTCAACAGCATTTAATTATATGTTTATATTTTATATGACTGTTTATGATTAAGCTTAAGCAATTCTAACATATATTTTCTAGGCACCCATGATACAGCTGATGTGAGGTTTAATAGGAGACATCAAGTAGATCAGTCAGTAATTCAGAGAAGATTAGTTTTGGAAAACATCCATTGACACCAGAGGTTAGTTTGTGTTTATGAACTTAAAATATTTGGGTATTACTTCATCATGTAAAGAATATTTAGTCTTAGTTTATTTTATACAGGGGGCTAAGCTTCAACGAACATTTAAAAAATATGCCCTCAGAGAAGAAATTAATTGACATCCAAACGTACTGGGAGAGTCTAAATGAAAATACGGAACAATTTTTGCTAATGGAGGATCAAAAAGCATTCTAACTAGAAGCAATAAGTGATTATTTACAAAAATAAGCAAAAGAAATGTTATGATTGGAGCTAAAGATTATGCAATGTTGCATGCCTGCCTGAAAACACATAATATACTATACTGGCTTCCTCACTTAAAATAATAAAATAATAATAAAAGTGAACAGGCATTCTTTGTGCCGTTATCAAGGCACTGAAGTGTTTATTTCTCGTGTATTTCTCTAGCAAATTATGCGCGCACATTCATTCTATAAGGCTAGCAATGGCGGACTCTATGATGATGATCTACGCCTGTTTCTTTGAAGAATAACTTTTTGTGAATAATTTTTAGTGCAAAGTTTGAGAAACTTTGCAGTATTGTGATGAGTGGCGAAAATTCAAACGAGTCAGTCAGTCATATAGTGTAAACTTTACGGGGGGTAATTTGATTTATGCGTAAAGTAACTTTTTGTATATGATCAGTAATTCAAAGTTTTTAAATCAGTTTAACTTGCTTTATTTATTAATGCTCTACATCCCTTTTCAGCTAAGTTCACCAAAATATTAAGGAATTTTGACCGTTAAATTTTGAGGCATTGCTTTTCCACGGTTTGGGTTTTGTTTCAGAGGGACTTGCGCAGAATTGCCCCCCGGAACACCCGATTTTTTCTTATACGTCGCAACTGTGCATGTGCCGTAGAGCCTTCAACTTTTTATATTCACGATATAAAGAAACGAGGAGCGACGAGCATTGCTTCAAAACATTCCGGGCGTAAAAATCGAGCAATTCTTTGAGAATCTACGCAATTTTTTCATTTATGTTATGAATTACGAGCATTCAATTCAACACAAATATAATTTGGAAGGTTTATTCTGTAAATAGAGCTAAGAGGTTAGGAAGTATCGACGCTGTGTTGTTTATGTATTGATAGACTCTTACACGAATGTATATTATGTCGATAGCAAGTCGATATCTGATATTCTGCATACAGTACATAAATGATACAGTACTAAACGGACATTTTGTGCAGTAATCAAATATAGGTAATCAAAGTATATTTTTTGTATCGATTTACGCGTCGAAGTATCCACATCATATGCATATTGACATAATATGCATAAATTGTTGCCATCATATAAATATAGTGATTGTAGTCACAGTTGTTTGACGAAGAAAAGAGACTAAACTGGGAAAATCGCGCCCGGATTACATGAGCAACTAAAATTATAATTTAAAAGTGACAGTATCCGCGACTAACGTAACTTGAGTACTTTAAGTAATTTCCTTTTGATTAATATTTAACCTAGTTCATTATATTTTTACTGGCATAAGTCAAAATGTTTATGTTGGGAAAACGTCTGGTTGCTTAGGTATTACAGGGCATGAAAACTTTGCACTATCCTTGGATCCCTAGTTTGAATTACTTTTCATGCAAGCAAAGAACTTTTGCCGAAAGAAACTAATTATGTACCTGACTTTAAAATTCTTCAATTATCTCCTTAAGCACGCCTCTCCTTGTCTAACAGAAACCATAGCTAATAGACAATGAACGTGGTTAGGGTGGCCGGCAAACTTTAAAGAGTCTGTTATTTAAACTTCAACCGAAGTTGATTGTAACTTAGAGTGCACAAATATTTTGTCTTGCATAGATTGGCTAATCATTATTCGCTAATAGCTTAATTATACAGAATAAAAGTGCACAAATTTGTATAAATCTAAAAAAAGATAGAATAATGTCTTTTTGATGAAAGAACTCGGCTTTTTTTCTGAACCTTTTAAACTGGACTATGGTATGAATTTCATATTACAATCCTGAAGAAAGTTAAAATTATTGCAATTACAGACTTGATTTGGTAATTTTACAGCAGCTCGCTGTTAGTTTATTAAACTCGCGGATCAGTGTTTTAGAATACAGCTATCATCGTTGATATTAACTTGATAATAGACCTATGCCAAAAAGAGCAAGAAGCCTGTTACGGGTAACGCGAGAACGAGGCTAGTCAGGTTTTCTATTGCCAAAATTTCAAAATAATTTTTATATAATTACCTAAATTTTGCGGAAAAAACTTTGTTCTTGTGTAGCTTGCAACCTGTTAAAAAGTGAAATAAACGAATGAATAAAAACAAATTCAGCAGAGAAAATCTGACTAGCCTCGTTTTCGCGGGACCTGAGACAGGCCTCTTTTTTGGATAGGTCTATTCATAAAAATTTATGTATGATAAATCCCTTTTGTTTTTTCCACTAAAACTTATTTAAGGCCACTATTGCTTCAGGTCGATCACGATGGAAAATTATATCTATTTTTTACAGTAACTTCGTGCAATGCCATGGCTTCTGACGAGCTGCAAGAAAAAGCAAATTTTACAAGACTTAGTAGACTTTTGGTTGCCAAAGGAACTGAGGCTTTGAGAAATAAATTTGATACCATCCATCCACCTGTTAGTCTACCCAGAGTACTGGCTGCAAACAAAACATCTCTTCAAAAGTTAAAACCTCGAGTTATTAATAATTCCCAGTGGGATTTACTGTTTCCTCCGTCTGGCAACCCTCCAGATTCCAAAACCTTTGATGTCACATTACTTACAGTTCTATTCCGGAACATTTGTGGTTTTCCATCAACAGTATGGGATCTGATGCCTCCGGATTGGGATAAGTCAACTCAAGCGAATATCACAAGAATCAAGTGTTACAGAAATAATATTTATGCACATGTAACAACAACTCGAGTTGATAATTCAACATTTGAGTCTTTATGGAAGAAAATTTCCCAGGTGATAGTCGAATTGGGCGTTTCACAGAGTGATGTCGACGATTTAGAAAAATGTTCTCTTGGGCCTGAAGAAGAAGTGTATGTGCAAAAGCTTAAAGATTGGAAACTGCACAAAGATGAGTGTATTAAAATGCTTGCAACAATGACACAAATCGCTGAAGAAAACCGCGACGAGATAAATAAAACTTGCCACTCTTCGACCAAGCGTAAGCTATCAATACCCGGGGATAGCAATCCTGAGAAAAAATCCCGCATGGAAAGTGATTAAGATTTATTGCAAACACTCGCTAAGCATAATTTTAATGGTAAAATTAAAAGAAAAGTTAATTTTTTCCTTCCTGGAGCAAGGAAGTTGTTGTTAAGGGAAATTAACGAGTGGTTTTATGGAAGTGACAGCCATTGAAGAATAAAATTAATAACAGCTGGACCAGGATTTGGTAAAAGCGTATTTGCCGCTAAAATCTGTGAAGATTTTGAGAAGAATGGAAAGCTGGCTGCTTTTCACTTTTGTGATTTCAGCAATTTAAACCTAAGAGATCCTATGATGATGCTGAGCGACCCTGACTTTAAAAATGAGCTCCTTGATCAGTTAAAGCGACCTCATCTAGTCCAAAACCTGAAAGATGCATTTCTAATATATCTGCAAAATCCCGTAGATGATCGATGGCTTGGATGAATGTGCTGCTGATAGTCTACAAATCTACACAAAACTGTAATTTTCTAACGTGTTGGGTTTCTCCGCAGGTTTTTTTTACCAATTAAATGAGAATATCTTTGTTTTTAAAAATAACTGAATGAAATCGTTCACACTAGGACGAAAAACAAGAGCAGAAGACTTAGTTGATAAAGACTTTGTTGTGAACGACAGATGTTTTGAAACTGAGATTTTGGTTAGGATATTTTATAATGGATTTAGTGAACAATAACATGAAAAACTATCATCATGAACATTGTTTTGGGGAAGCGGCTAAACTTTGCTTGGAGCTGGTCTAGAATGGAGAAGTAAGACACCTCCTTCCCTCCGTTTGTTTGGGAGTTCACCTTGGGCAAGTGATAGCACTCCCTTTCCTCCCTAACTGGGGTTACAGTTTGTTAAACAAAACAAAGATGACATCTTAAATACATCTGCAAGAAACAAGCCCTAAAAAACTGTGACCAATGCTAGTTGTATGATGGTGTTGTTTAAGATGTTTATTATGGTAGTTACAGTCATGTTGGTGGTGATAGTTCTCATCTGTGTTGTTAGTGATGGTGCTGGTCTCTAAGATGGTGCTGATGGTAATTGCGCTGGTTATGAAACAATGCTATTAATTATAGTAATTAATAGTAACTGTATTATGGTCAAAACGTCTGATGCTTATGAAAAAGAAAGATGTCGTAACTACAAGAACTATGTACATTGCAGGGACGTTTTATTACCTGCATGGAAAGGAAGATATTTAAAGTTTGTAGCGGGAACTGGAAAATTGTAAAAACTTGCGTGAAATGCGAATAATATTATGATCAGAGACATCTGATGTTCATGAAAAAGAAGGTCACGAAACAATACAACAATTATGTCTTAGGCGTGTTTCAAAGGTCGTTTTTTTATCTTTAATGCGTTCGACATTGCGAATTTAGAAACCCTACAGATGGTCGTTATCATAATTTAATATACTGAAGCTTAGATTTTTATTCAACACTATAGGTGGCTTATTTGTAAACAAACTAACATCAAGTGGTAAATTAGGATTTTATGACTTCGAACGTGCCTGGTCCACAAAAGTACAAATGACAAGAATATTGCTTAGTATTTAAATATTTGCCTACTGCCAGCATGTAATTTGTATAGATTTGTAATTTTGTAAACCATTTCATGATTTCACCTTATTGACTGTTGTTGAAATTCTTATTTCGGTGTTTGTCTTACATCCCTAAAGTTGTCTTGTGTGATATCAACTTGGAGGTAATTATACCAAGTACCAGGGTTGTTAAAAACTAATAGGATGACTGTATTTGGCTAAGTTATTTATCAAACCCTGCCATGAACAATATTCGTCTGGAGACTGGATCAAAACATGGTCTGAGTAAACTTGATATTTGTTTCTTTTTTTGTGAACGTTTATGAAAATTTCTACACATTGAAGACAAAATGATTTCTGGCTTTCTGCCAGCATCGGACCGTAGATCAGTTAACTTTATAAATGTATTTTTTGAGCTAGTTTGAGGCTGGGATAATTATTAAAATTCTGAAGATAAGAAGGAGTCTCTTTTTCAGGCAAGATGCATTTTGCGTTCACAAATTACACCCGTGAGATATTCAAAATCGTCCAGGGATCGCTGAGGGAGGAGAGAGGGTGGATAGTTTTATGTTTTGAAAGTTTTCCTCAAGACTGCAACAGTGGCTCTGACTGATTTGAATTTTTCTATTGTGGTCATTCCTCTCCAAGAATTCCAGCAATGTCGAAACAATTGGGAAAAATGTGGTTCTTCCAATCACTTTTCACTGCGTTCCTACGGTACCAGATCCGTTGGTAACGACATCTTTGTTTGCCCTTAAAGCCTGATTCTCATGAGAATGCCTGTTTTGTGATTCAAATGAGTCTATGAGTTGTGAGTCAATGAGTTATGAGTCAGCTCAAGTCAGCTGGATTTTTCGAACTTATGGTTTACGAATTTACGTTGTTATTTTCATATTTTCAGTTGGTTAGTACGTTACTGGTACGGTGTTGCAAACCACCCTTCAGATTTATATTATATTACAGATTTGTGAACTTTTCATTGTCTGTATGAACTTTATTTGCATTGGTCCGGTTAGAAGTATTCTTCAATAATTATCCAGTATTAATACAATAGTACTTCAAGGGTTCATATGTACATGCAAGGTAGGACAATGCAGTCACCGCAGTAAGTCGCTTTTGAACATTTGCGACTGATTCCGATATTTTTTGACAGTTTCCATGAACTTTTTTTGAACATTTGAAATTGGTTTATATGAATATTTACAACTTTATTACAACTATATATATAATATTTACAACTTATATTGTTTAATGTTTGTATATGAGCCCCACACATGGTGGAAACTTTACATAGGACAAGCATTTGACCATTAAAACAGCGTGGTTATCTATTTCAAAAAATTTGACATCATAACCAAAGCATGGTTATGTTGTTTAATGTTTGTTATGAACGCCAAACATGGTGGAAACTTTACATGGCACAAGCATTTGACCATTAAAACATCGTGGTTATCCATTTCAAAAAATTTGACATCATAACCAAAGCATGCATGGTTATATTGTTTAATGTTTGTTATGAACGCAAACATGGTGGAAACTTTACATAGGACAAGCATTTGACCATTAAAACAGCGTGGTTATCCATTTCAAAATATTTGACATCCTAACCAAAGCATGGTTATGTTGTTTAATGTTTGTATGAACGCGAAACATGCTGGAAACTTTACATAGGACAAGCATTTGACCATTAAAACAGCGTGGTTATCCATTTCAAAATATTTGACATCATAACCAAAGCATGGTTATATTGTTTAATGTGTGTTATCAGCGCCAAACATGCTGGAAACTTTACATACTATCTATTATTTTCCATTAATCCTTAAATTGAGAGGCATTTGCGGCGATTTCAGAGACCTATATTTCAAAATTTTCCCGGACTCTCCTAGCAGGCGCGGGTTTTCGAGCTCCAGCAATACGAAAAACGCTCCGCGTTCCCTGGAATAGATATATCTAAGAATTATGTTGGCCATATTGTAAAATGTAGCCGAGAAATTCGAAGGTAAATTTTATGCAAATCAGGCGAAAACTTTATCCGCAGTTACAAAACTGTGGTTAGGAAAATGCAGCAAAATTTTTTTACTCATAACTCATTGACTCATAACTCATTAGGCTCATTTCAACATTAATCTCGATTCTCATATGTCACCGATGCTCGGCGATGTATTGTTTGTCGTGGTTGACGAAGTAACAAAGCACTTTATGCTCCAGTGATCACCGACAATAGTCGGTGACATATGAGAATCATGCAGGCTTTATGAAACAACGATTGTTAGTAAATGATTATTAATTTGATAGATTTGGTATATTTATTCAGGACACCGCCGTCTTTCATTAATTAAATTCACAATTCGACCTGGTCCGATAGTAATCCGGTACCTTGTCAACGAGGCTTTAAGTGTTTTTCATACGCAGTTACACCCACGGAAGAATGCTTTTACATTATTATTATATACCAAAATTGGTGGAAGCAATTGGTGGAACCTCGATCTTAACTGAGTTTCTCACTTCTCTATGCTCTCCCCAGTGTTTTAAAGGCGGTATTATTTGAGCTGTTATCTCAAAATATATGATTTAGATATATCGTTCCAGTTTTCTAACATTAGTTTGCAGCGCCATATAGCTCAGTGGCCGCACCCAAAACCTCACCCAGTTCCTGTTCTCTTTGAGTCTTTGTATTTCTTCAAAGTCTGGGTCATTGAGTCTGGGTTCGTTATTTGTCAAAATGATCGTATTCTTGGACTAGAAGCTCCCAAAGTGATCCTGGGAAGTGTTGATTTAGTGTTTGAACAAAACTAAAGTACTAGTTGTTTTAACAAGCTTTATCGAGGCAGACAAGCCCAAAGACAAAGGCATACGGCTTCGGACCAGTCGTGGTATAAATATACACTACATAGACAAGACCAGATTGCCGAAGGTATTAAATCAAGGTATGTTTTCTCTCATATTGCGATATACGAATGCGTCTTTGTCTATTTAGCTATAAATAACAATGTTTTGACCGGACGGTTTGGTTTATATTGGTGTACGTTTCACGTAGTATATATTGCACATTGTTGCTTATATATTCATTGCTTTTATATATTAAAATAATAGTAACCAGAAATATTCACATCTGATTTTGCTGGGTACGGGAGGAATTTATTTTTCAATGTTTTGTAGTTAAGATCATATGCAAAGTAATACACCAGTCAGCGCTATAGTTTTGTTTCATCAGTTCTGCTATAAAATGGTCATTATATTAAAACACAGCTAATTTTCAATTTATACCATGCTTCCCTGATTTTAATACAGGAAATCAATTTTAAAACATTTACTAATTTATTTAGACCCAGAGACATGAAATATCTTTCAGGGGGAATATCATCATTTGATTCATTTCTTACATGTCCATTTTAAACATTTTATTCCACCTGCTGAGATAAAATTATTAGAGTTATCACAAATTAATTAGTTCAGTAAGTTCAACTTCAAATGAAATCACCAATTGTTAGAAAAATTGTTAGGAAACTGATTTGGTTGAAACCAGTTTGAAACTGGATAATTATCACATAACCAGTAAATCATTAGATGAGAATTTTATTAGAATCTGTTTGCCCATCCAAGAGGGTGAAATCCCTCCATAGTCAAGCGATTATTTTTTGTCTTTTCTTGTCCTAAAAATCTAATCCATGCTAAATATGTATGTCTGTGGCAGGGAAACTCCCCAGTTGGTGCAAAGGGGAAAATGTTTTCCCAAATGGGTTTCCCGTCAGAAGCAACCTTCAAATCACAGAATAAAGATCAAATTTTATAATATTTTTCATGACACATTATTCATACTGTAGTCTCATTAAGATTTATAGGTTAAAACTCACTTGATCACACGGGTCAAACAATATATGTTATATCAATTGGGCAAAATCAAACACAATCCAATGGAGATTTTTAGTAATATATTGTAAATTCTAAATTGATTGGATTCTGCTTAGATTACAGTTAAACTATTATAGAAACAAACTTAATCACAACTCACAGTACCTGAAGAGTGGATCTCCACTGATTGTCAAACTATTGTTCTCTCTCTCTCTCTCTCTCGCACGCTTGTCTCACAATGGACCTGATATTCTTATGTTCTCTGTTTACACTAACACCTAATCACTAATTCAATCACATCTCATACAAATCAAATAGGATCATGCTAGATTTATTTAAACTATGAAATAATTAATAACCAAAATAATCTAATAATAATAACTGAAAAAATCAAACCATATGTAAACTGTCTGATCCAGAGGTGATGAAATTAAAAGTCTGATAGCACTCTGATTTCCTAACAGTGTTATTCAGACAGTATTCATAAAAGTCTCAAATGTTTCTTGCATGTGCATGAGAACTAACATACCACTGTATTTGCAAAATAATTTGTGCAACAAAGCGCTGCACTTGCAACTTCAAGCTCGTCAGGGAAAACCCATTTTTGAATATTAATTTTAAAAAAGTTACTGTAAATGATCTGCATATGTTCACTGGTTGACTGGAAGGTTTATCAGGTCAGGTTGATTCGGTTGATTGGGATGTAGTCAACTTTTCAATGCATTATTCACCCCATGAACATTTCTTATTTTCAAATTGAAAAGAGTTGGGCATTTCACATAATGGCATCAAATGTGATATAACAACTGCCTGATATAGACAAAACACTTCAAACAACACCTGAGGGCCTTCGTCTGGAGAGTAAGAATGAAAGTAAATAGGGGAGAATACATGTTTTGTATGGGGCAAAACAAGTGCTAAAAATGGGCCAATAGAAAACAATAAATCAAATATATATATATATATATATATATATATATATATATATATATATAATATATTAATATATATATATATTTGTACTTTTTCTTAATTGAGCCATGTGTTCACTTGTGGGGTTATATGATATGTTTTATATGTTCTTTCTACACAAGTTTAACCAACCGGGCAAGCAGAAAATTCTACTTGACCGCGGTGGGAACGTAAGGACGAAACTCCGTAATGTCAATAACAACTTAAGTAACAGTCGTTCCCAACTTGGCCTTGTAGCTCAGACGGTAGAGCATCCTTCTAGAAATGCGAAGGTCGCGGGTTCGATTCCCACCGCGGTCAAGTAGAATTTTCTGCTTGCCCGGTTGGTTAAACTTGTGTAGAAAGAACATATAAAACACATATCATATCCTATCATATATATATATATATATATATATATATATATATATATATATATATATATATATATATATATATATATATATATTATATTATATATATAATATTATATATATATATATATTTATATATATATATTATATATATATATATATATATATATATATATATATATAATATATTATATATATAATTATATATATATATATATATATATATACGTACATACGTATACGAAGCAACGATTATTAGTAAATGCTTATTAATTTGATAGATTTGGTATATTTATTCAGAGCTCAGACATTAAAAAAACATCGCTGTCTTTCATTAGCTTCAAAATTTGACCTGATGGCAATGGACGACTTGCGCTTTAGACTAATTTCTTACTTCGGCGATAAAAAGGACATTTTCTGAAAGATCTTACTTAAATTAGTGCAAAAGCAAAGTTTGGCTGCGAAATTTTGTAAAATACGGAAAATATAGCCACGCGAAGTTGTCGATTTTTGTATACTTTTGTATTACGTGCGGAAATGTGTAACTAAATTAGTTACACCCTTCCGGTCGTAATACAAAAGTTTACAAAATTTGCCAACTGCGCGTGGCTATATACCGTATTTTACCACATTTCGCAGCCAAACTTTGCATTTGTACTAATTTAAGTAAGATCTTTCTAGCTGTGATGATTTATTTTCTTCTAGTTACTTCGATCAAAAATTAGTCTAAAGCGCAAGTCGTCCATTCAATACCGTGTGAACGGGGCTTTAAGCCTTTTTCATACGCACGTAAACCCAAAATTGTTAACTCATCGCCAGAATAATATGATGTTATCGATAATATGATTTTATATGATCCAACAAATTTTCAGACTACAGTTTAAGACCCTCGTGTGACTATAAATACGCATCATCCGTCTGTTATTATAAATACAGGGTATTAACCAGAAAACAGCTCTTGTACACGCGCTTTTTGCCACATAAATATTTTCCAGGATATTTTCGATGCACTTAAGTAAGGCGTAATTTTGTTTATGTTCGACATATTCGTCTACATATGGTTTTGACCATGTAGATTATCACATTCTAAATTTTGAACTAGTACGTTTGTGATTATCAATGATTTATCAACAACACGGTAACGTAGAAATGGTTGGTTGTATGTGCATGTAGGTGCAGAACAGCGCTGTGGCGTCGTATTGAATAAACTTGCATTATTAAATGCCTGGCACTGCACAGCGCTTCGTCGCGTTGTGCAGTTGTGCATTTTTTACAATGAAATTAATAATATGAACTTTCTGCTAATGAAAATGATGTCTAAAATATACAAATTCCATAACTGCATGACACTCACACGACATTCTAAGGTGCATGGCAGTTTTAAATTAATTATGACTTTTGGCACTTCACTCGATGCAGGTAAATTCTAGAGGTTTTAAAGGGTCTTAATTTCGAGTGGAATTATACACACTTAAATTCAAGCCAGGAACAGTTGATGGAAAAATTAGTCAACTATAAGTCCTCCGGTAGGAATCGAAATGCTCAAGAGAAAATTAAATTTGAAAATTAAACGAGACTTATCTGTAAGTTTGATTTGAATTATATAACGTCATCAGTCTTGAACGTAGGAGTATATAACATGATAAGCACGCGCTCGCTTTCCTAGCCTTTAAAGACAGCCAACTCGCTGATTCTCACACGGAACGAAGAAGTATCGGGAGTGACAACTCTCCACCATGAAGAGAGGGCATGTTACTCCTTCGTTCAGGACTGATGACGTTATATAATTCAAATCAAATTTCAACTTACAGGTAGCTAAGTTTCGTTTAATTTTCAAATTATATACGTCATCAGTCTACGTCACTACGGAGTAGCATGAGAATTGAAAGATGTGAGGGTCAGCGAGTTGCAAGATAAAAGTGAACCCCAACCATCTCAGTGTTTGATACACCGTCTTAATAGTTTATTGTCAAGGGTCGGTTGTATCAAGCCCGTTTAGCTTAAACGGTGGATAAGTTCAAAATAGAAAGCAAGTCTGCCGTTTTATTCAACAAGCGAACTAAATGTTTTTTATCTTAATACAAAGATACTGTCTACAACTACATATTCAGTGCATAATATTCAAGTTGAATCGTTCAAGAAAGATGTAAGAGTGTTATTTAATTTTGACTTATCTTCCGTTTAAGCTAAAAGGGCTTGATACAACCGGCCCCAGAGCTATACAAGATATATAAGTCATTCGCGATCATTGTTGTCCTCGCTATTAAAGTGATTTATAAGTATGCTGTTTCCAAAACTGGAGACAATTGGTTTATTATAATGTTTTGCAAATATTTCTGCATTTTGGTCCAACCGCCAGCTTTAAGTACGTTCTTAAGGGACAACCCAGATAGGAATCCGTAAGACGAGGACGCCGTCCGGCTACTCTGAGCTGAGAAATTGTTTATGTCGATGCCTGAGCCTTGGAGGACACGTTTGACCCAACGACCAATTGTGGAATTTGTAACCGGTTTAAATGGTTTGACGTAACTTAGTAGCAATTTGGAATCAGCTCTCATAGGTTTAGTTTTAATGATATAGTGTTTAATATTGGCTACAGGGCAGAGGCGGATGTCCTCGGGATAGCTTTTAACCTTGATAGGCAGGAGGTGTTTTCCCGCCTTCGTGTTTTTTTTTCTCGTGTATTGTAAATATAATTCCATCATCAGTTTCCTGCATGAAATCGAGGTCTAAGCTAGATAAGGTTTGGCATCGTTGTGCAGTTAAAAGAGCCAATGAAGTTGTTAATTTTTTCGTCAATATTGATAGAGGTAGCTCCTCCATGGCAGACAGGGACTGCAAGGCCCAGTACAGAGCTGTGACGTCATTACGTTCTTCGAATATTAACAGTATGAGTGTCTATTGTATTCTATTGAGTGGCACAGTACAGAGCTGTGACGTCATTACGTTCTTCGAATATTAACAGTATGAGTGTCTATTGTATTCTATTGAGTGGCACAGTACAGAGCTGTGACGTCATTACGTTCTTCGAATATTAACAGTATGAGTGTCTATTGTATTCTATTGAGTGGCATAGTACAGAGCTGTGACGTCATTACGTTCTTCGAATAATAACAGTATGAGTGTCTATTGTATTCTATTGAGTGGCACAGTACAGAGCTGTGACGTCATTACGTTCTTCGAATATTAACAGTATGAGTGTCTATTGTATTCTATTGAGTGGCATAGTACAGAGCTGTGACGTCATGTTAAATGAACCTGTAACCAATATAGAAAAAAATATAACACGATTACGAGGCTCAGGGGCTAAAACCCGACAATAATCAAACACTAAAGAGCAAATAAGACAGATTAGTTGTTCTGAGAGTGAGACTATTTTAACAGACTCGATCCCTGAGCGCCTAATAGTACTGCATTGACTTACGAAAATATAATAATCCAGCTTAACTGATTACATGCTGAGGAGGCACAGCCACTAGTCTGATAAGAGAAATGTTTTATGAAGTGTTATTTGTAAAAATAAATGACATCGAGAGTTTGCTGAAACAGCTTTTCAAAATTATCGCACGAACTAAATGGAATTGATAAAAAACTTCAACGACAGTTTACAATCGGAAATGAAAAAAATCGAGTGGCAATAGATCTTAAATACACGAGATATTTTCATAAATTATTTGGCATCAAAATACATTCAGATCATACCATGTCTATAAATGAGAACATGCTTTCAAAATTTATAATGTCAAAAAAAACCCATTTCCACACACAAATAAGACAGACGGAATGTTTATAGAAATTCTAAAATTAAGTTCATGTGAGTTTGTCATATTGGTGGTAGCGAGTCAGAAACGGTACTCCTAAAACATACAGTATGTCTCTTCGCAAAATCATTTTCACAAGAAATCCCTTCGTTAAACAAGATCCTAGCGACTTTCTTTTATGAAAATCTACTCCATCCCATTCTTTTTCTCGGTGTAACCTATATAATTGGTACAACCATTTTGTTACAGTAATTAACCGTGTCTAAGGTTTGTATTTTTGTAAACCATTTTATGCTTTCACTTTGTTGTTGAAATTTCTTATTTCGGTGTTTGCTAACATCCCCTAAGTTGTCTCAACATCCCCTAAGTTGTCTTTAAGACTGCAACAGTGGCTCCGATAGATTTGAATTTTCCTATTTGAGTCATTGCTCCCATGGAGGAATTTCAGCAGTTTCAAAACAATTGGAAAATTGTGGTTCGCTTCCAATCACTTTTTTATTACCTGGCTTCTTAAGCCTGTCTTCCACTTAAGCTGCGTCACACGGTACCGGATCCACTCATCTTCGTTTGCCGTTATGAAGCAACGATTATTAGTAAATGATTATCAATTCATAGATTTCGTATATTTATTCAGGACACCGCTGTCTTTCATTAATTAACTTCAAAATTCGACATTGGCCGACAGTAATCCGATACCTTGTCAACGGGGCTTTAAGTGTTTTTCATACGCAGGTACACCGTACACCAACGGAAGAATGCTTTAACATTTTTATTATATACCAAAATTGCGAAAAAACTAATTCTTTCGATTTATTTACTTTTTCAAAGGTAACATATATAATGATTTAGACTTCCGTGTGTGTACGTGCGTATGAAAAACGCGTGCGTGGAAAACAGCCTCAATAGAATAGAAAAAAAGGTAAATTATCAGAAATTTGTTAGATTTGGACTTTACTTGTTAGATTTGGAATTACTCCCCAAATCCTCGATCTTAACTGAGTTTCACTTTTCTATGCCCAGTGCTTTTAAAGGCGGTATTATTTGAGCGGTTATTGATATTATCAATTTTGTCAAAAATATATTATTTAGATATATCGTTCCAGTTTTCTAACTTTAGTTTGCAGAGCCATATAGCTCAGTGGCCACACCCGAAACCTCACCCAGTTCCTGTTTCTTTGAGTCTTTGTATTTCTTCAAAGTCTGTGTTCGTTGTTTGTCAAAATGATCGTATTCTTTGACTAGAAGCTCCCAAAGTAATCCTGGGAAGTGTCGATTTAGTGTTTGAACAAATCTAAAGTTGTTTTAACAAGCTTTATCCAGGCAGACAAGCCCAAAGACAAAGGCATACGGCTTCGGACCAGTCGTGGTATAAATATACACTACATAGACAAGACCAGATTGCCGAAGGTATTAAATCAAGGTATGTTTTCTCTCATATTGCGATATACGAATGCGTCTTTGTCTATTTAGCTATAAATAACAATGTTTTGACCGGATGGTTTGGTTTATATTGGTGTTTCACGTAGTATATTGCACACATTGTTACTTATATATACATTGCTTCTATAATAATAGTAACCAGAAATATTCACAATCTGATTTTGCTGGGTACGGGAGGATTTTATTTTTCAACGTTTTGTAGTTAAGATCATATGCAAAGTAATACACCAGTCAGCGCTATAGTTTTGTTTCATCAGTTGTGCTATAAAATGGTCATTATATTAAAACACAGCTAATTTTCAATTTATACCATGCTTCCCTGATTTTAATACAGGAAATCAATTTTAAAACATTTACTAATTTATTTAGACCCAGAGACATGAAATATCTTTCAGGGGGAATATCATCATTTCATTCACTTCTTACATGTCCATTTTAAACATTTTATTCCACTTGCTGAGATAAAATTATTAGAGTTATCACAAATTAATTAGTTCAGTAAGTTCAACTTCAAATGAAATCACCAATTGTTAGAAAAATTGTTAGGAAACTGATTTGGTTGAAACCAGTTTGAAACTGGATAATTATCACTTAACCAGTAAATCATTAGATGAGAATTTTATTAGAATCTGTTTGCCCATCCAAGCATAGGCGGCCCAGAACTGATCTCACTGACCTCGCGCGACGCTTATGTTGTCTGAACAATCTTATATTATGACAAGGTTGGCAACTCTCACGCCAAATAAGCTAAAAACGCACGACGGTTGACTCAAACACCTTCACAAAACCGCAAATATTTCATAAAAATATGGCGAATAAGAAAAAAAAAGTACAACACATTAAACTTGAATAATTTTACTACATTTATACTATATTTTTAGCATTCAAATGTATTCCTATGCATGTATAGAACGTGAATGTTTTTTGGGTTTCTGTCAAATATATTTCAAAACCTATGCTGGGGACACCTTGCCTATACCACAGATTAGCTATATACAGATATGAAACTTCTGTGTTTTTGCTGATTGTTTTGTGTCCCACGCGCAGCCAGTGCGTGATGACTTCCGGCGGCGAGCTTGGCAAGTGTCATGAGGGAATTTAATGAGTAAAACGCCGATTTTAAGACGAAAAATTGCTTTTTTAAAAAACCCTCGCTACCTATGGCTAATTCTGGAATAAATTCTTAAAGAGAATCGGTATATGTATCCTTCATTAATTGTGGAAAGGCAATTGAGCATATCTATAGCTCAAAATTGACTTTTGAAAATCAAAAAAGCTGGTCCAATTGATGCCGAATTATATTTGCATTGGCACTATGGAATCAATGTACTCTGGCTGAATTCTTTGCAATGAAGTCCCATATCTACACGTAAATATTATTTATCTGAATTTTTCAAGTTGCTAACCGTCTTTTAAATCTGTTTTTTTAAAATAATATCAAAGCATAGAGTGTTTGATTGCTAATTTTAAACCCCGAAACTCAAAACATAATATGGCCATGTCTTTATTTTTGTTTTCAGAATTCCGCTAAAAAGACCCGTCTATGGTCATAATAATCGCGCATAAGCAGCAATTTGTAAACTTTGTGTCAAAAATAGTCCAAGACAAGGGTGATGAAGTTGTTTTTTTATAGCCAAACGCCTAAAATCGCTAAATACGCTGAATTGCTCGTCAAATTTACATGCCATGTTCGGCATGTGTTGTTGTTCATTTCAAGTACACAAAATCCTTTTTAAGCTCCCATCATTTCGTTTTCACATTTCTATTATTCCTATAGATATTTGTTAATTCATTTCATCTTACCTCCTGGAGATATATTGTATCTAAAGCATGTATTACATGTTTTCTAAACTCAAAAATAGCTCAGCCAGTGCTAAACTATTGCACGGCTTTCCATACGGCAAGCCCTGCACTCCTCAGCTATATTTTTTACTGTTTTTGCCAGCATCAAATAATTTCAGAAACCAGTTCTTAGCTCAGAAGAGCCACTTTATCCATCTTTTTGAAAATTTTAAGTCAAATGGGACATGGCCCTAAAGGTTTTGTTTAAATCATGATTTTTTTGTCAAAAATTCGATTTTTACTCATTAAATTTCGACATGACACTTGCCAAGCAAGTAAAGCATGCGCACATTGGGCAGAAAACCGTGTGACTCGATTTGGCTTCAGTTTCATATCTGTATATAGCTAATCTGTGCCTATACCTTCGTCATATTTTTAAATTGAAAATAGAAAGCTGATTGGCTCTTTTTAAACGACAACCAATCAGCTTTCTATTTTCAATTTAAAAATATGACGAAGGTATAGGCAAGGTGTCCCCAGCATAGGTTTTGAAATATATTTGACAGAAACCCAAAAAACATTCACGTTCTATACATGCATAGGAATACATTTGAATGCTAAAAATATAGTATAAATGTAGTAAAATTATTCAAGTTTAATGTGTTGTACTTTTTTTTTCTTATTCGCCATATTTTTATGAAATATTTGCGGTTTTGTGAAGGTGTTTGAGTCAACCGTCGTGCGTTTTTAGCTTATTTGGCGTGAGAGTTGCCAACCTTGTCATAATATAAGATTGTTCAGACTACATAAGCGTCGCGCGAGGTCAGTGAGATCAGTTCTGGGCCGCCTATGATCCAAGAGGGTGAAATTCCTCCATAGTCAAGCGATTATTTTTTGTCTTTTCTTGTCCTAAAAATCTAATCCATGCTAAATATGTATGTCTGTGGCTGGGGAACTCCCCAGTTGGTGCAAAGGGGAAAATGTTTTCCCAAATGGGTTTCCCCTCAGAAGCAACCTTCAAATCACAGAATACAGATCAAATTTTATAATATTTTTCATGACACATTATTCATACTGTAGTCTCATTAAGATTTATAGGTTAAGACTCACTTGATCACATGAGTCAAACAATATATGTTATATCAATTGGGTGAAATCAAACACAATCCAATGGAGATTTTTCATAATATATTTGTAAATTCTAAATTGATTGATTCTGATTAGATTACAGTTAAACTATTATAGAAACAAACTTAATCACAACTCACAGTACCTGAAGAGTCGATCTCCACTGATTGTCAAACTATTGTTCTCTCTCGCACGCTTGTCTAACAATGGACCCGATATTCTTATGTTCTCTGTTTACACTAACACCTAATCACTAATTCAATCACATCTCATGCAAATGAAATAGGATCATGCTAAATTTCTTTAAACTATGAAATAATTAATGACCAAAATAATCTAATAATAATAACTGAAAAAATCAAACCATATGTAAACTGTCTGATCCAGAGGTGATAAAATTAAAAGTCTGATAGCACTCTGATTTCCTAACAGTGTTATTCAGACAGTATTCATAAAACTTTCAAATGTTTCTTGCATGTGCATAAGAACTAGCATACTACTGTATTTGCAAAATAATTTGTGTGACAACGCGCTGCACTTGCGACTTCAAGCTCATCCGGGAAAACCCATTTTTGAATATTAATTTTAAAAAAGTTGCTGTAAATGATCTGCATATGTTCACTGGTTGACTGGAAGGTTTATCAGGTCAGGTTGATTGGGATGCATTCAACTTTTCAATGCATTATTCATCACATGAACATTTCTTATCTTCAAATTATGTGTTGAACTGAAATAAAGCCTTTGGTCCTATAATTTTAGGTATTCTAATGCCCCGTCCACACGTATCCGGATATTTTTAAAAACGGAGGTTTTTTCATTCGTTTTGGCCTTGCGTCACGTAACCGGCGGACGTTTTCAAAAACGCTCTCCAGAGTGGAGTTTTTTCGAAAACGCCGTTTCCGTGTTTACGTGTGGACGGATAATCGGATTCAGTCTATAACGGGGCTAACGGGCCAATAACGGCGCGTGTTTTGTATCTCTTCAAGATGGTGAACTAAAATTGCTTGGCTGTTTTACTTTTCATAATTTCAAGTAATTTTGAATATTAATTTGAAAAAAGTTACTGTAAATGATCTGCATATGTTCACTGGTTGACTGGAAGGTTTATTAGGTCAGGTTGATTGGGATGTAGTCAACTTTTCAATGCATTATTCACCACATGAACATTTCTTATTTTCAAATTGAAAAGAGTTGGGCATTTCACATAATGGCATCAAATGTGATATAACAACTGCCTGAAATAGACAAAACACTTCAAACAACACCTGAGGGCCTTCGTCTGGAGAGTAAGAATGAAAGTAAATAGGGGAGAATACATGTTTTGTATGGGGCAAAACAAATGCTAAAAATGGGCCAATAGAAAACAATAAATCAAATATATATATATATATATATATATATATATATATATATATATATATATATATATACAGTAGGAGGCAAAAGTTTGAGTCCAGTCGTTGTAGAATTCCAGTATAAATTCCTGGCAGCGTATTCGAGTTAAGACATGCGTGCTAGTGTTTCAGTACTGTAAACTATATTAATTGCACACTGTTTTGGTCCTAATGATCTAAATTATAACAAAATAAAGTTCTCATTCCTTTACACTGCCCAAGATGAGTGGGAAAAAGGGCAAAGTGATGGTGCACAAGGACAAATAGTTGCATTAAGTATTGAAGGATTCTTTCCTCGTAAGGTCGCAGAAAAAGTGAGAATTTAAAAAGGTGGTATGCAACTAACCTTGGAGAGGTTCGAAGAAACTAAATCCTACTCAAGCAAACTTTTAGCTGCTTTGGTCATGCTCGGTTTTGCAATATTGAAAGATATAATAGGATCCTAATTAAAGAAAAGTATCATCCAATTCTTCAAGGACATGGAATTTCATCTGGTACAAAGATGATCGCACGTCTAACTATACATGATAATCACCCTAAGCACATGCACATCTTCTATGTGCCAGAAATCTTTTAGAAGCAAACTCATTCTGGTGATCTCGTTGTCATGGCTTTCCACCTCATATTCCAGATCTAAAACCTATGGAGCACTTGTAGAACCGTTTTAACCGGAAGA